TGTGTGTGTGTGTGTGTGTGTGTGTGTGTGTTGTGTGTGTGTGTGTGTGTGTGTGTGTGTGTTTTATGTGTGTGTGTGTGTATGAATTTGTATGTGTGTGTGTGTGTGTGTGTGACAGAGAGACTCAGCAGTCAACATTTGCACCAATAACTCACTACAGTTGTGACCGTGTGTGGAAGTGTGAATTGCTCATTACTCTAAAATTTGTTCATGATTGCAGCCATGTATAAACGTAAGTAACCATTCTTACAGTATTCATTACCTTTGTAACTTGTGAGTTCATTACCTTGTACCTAGTTCAGCCATCAAAACTTTGGAGCCCGGTCCCTGGACCCATTGTGTACCTCTGTAATCTGTAAATACCTTTGTAACTTGTCATGATTGTGACTAGACCTACCTGGAGTTCATTACCTTTGTAAATTGTGAGTTCATTACCTTTGTAAATTGTGAATTCATTACCTCTGTAACTTGCTCAGCTATCAAAACTTTGAGGCCCAGTCCCTGGACCCATTATGTACCTCTGTAATCTTTTGACTACCGTCCACAGGATGGGTATGGGGTGCATAATAAACATATTAAACTAACTCTAATATCAACCTTGACCTAAAACGCTTTCTTGATAGTTGTGACAGAACCCACAGGCATAACACCAGACACAAACATCTCTACAACATTCCCCGTGTCCGACTAAACCTTTACAAAAATTCAATGTATGTCAAAGGCCCTAAAATCTGGAATACCCTACCTGAGAACTCTAGAACTGCAGACACATTCATCACCTTCAAAACTACCATTAGAAAACATCTTATCTCCCTGATACACCCCGTCAACTAATTACACGAATACCACCTGGTGGTTCACACTTACACTCACTCACTCATTTGACCATAAACAGAAATATTAATCTCAATCTTATAATAATGAATCCTGTGATACTCCAATACTGAAACTATGTACTGTGCCAAAACAAAAGCATTCACATTGCTAAACTCACAAACTAGTATTTAGTCACTTAGCCATAATACCAACTTACCTCATAATTTTGTTGTGATAGAAACACAGGCCTTATCTCTAGGCTTTATTGAACATAGAATCTTCATAGTACTTCTGCAACAACAAAATATAATGACTAGTACATCTAATAATGGCTTCTACAGGGATGGTGATGTCTTGCATATGTCAAGAGAAAAGTTATAACTACAGGCCACATATTTAAACTCACCATGTAATCTGCATCGCAGATAAATGGATAAAGTATAAGAGAATCACACACCATGTGTTGGTGCCCATGACCACACCAAACTGTTGTTGTTGTTGTTAAGGGCCCCTAGAGGTGGTGCAGTATTATCCTGCTGCTGCTCCTCACAGGACCAGTATCACTACAAATTTGTAATATTTTACAATTAAGAATAAAACTAAGTATGCCCGAAATGCCTAGCCATGCTAAGCGTTCTAGTGGTACACTCTGTAATCACAATTTTACTACATGTAAACCACACAATAACCAAATTTCTGTAAACTCAGCTTTGTAATCCTTATAGAGAATAAACTTTGAATTTGAATTTGAATTTGAATTAATGGAACGGCTGAGCTGGGTGGCCCTTAAACCCACCCAAACAAAAGCGTTCTCCCCCGAGTTGGCATGGATGGTAGGCACTTATTAATTTATAGATTTACCCTTCAGGGAAGAAGTAGGTAGTTTACTGTTAGTACACTAATATTAGGATTGTTGAGGCAACTGTAGATAGTAATAATGTAGACCTAAGACCTTAACATAGGTAGTAATAGGCCGATAATGTAGGCAAACACTGGGATAAGTTCGCTAGGGAGAACTGGCAGCCCTAGTTTGAACTACGAGGCGCGGGTCTCAAAGACACAATAGCGTCCTTCTGTGTGTGTGTGTGGTGTGTGTGACTCAACAATCAATATTTGCACCAATAACTCATTACAGTTGTGACTGGGTGTGGAAGTGTGAATTGCTCATTACTCTATAATTTGTTCATGATTGTAGCCAAAGTATAAACGTAAGTAACCATTCTACAGAATTCATTACCTTTGTAACTTGTGAGCTCATTACCTTTGTACCTAGTTCAGCTATCAAAACTTTGGGGGCCCAGTCCCTGGACCCATTACGTACCTCTGTAATCTGTAAATACCTTTGTAACTTGTCATGATTGTGACCAGACTTACCTGGAGTTCATTACCTTTGTAAATTGTGAGTTCATTACCTTTGTAAATTGTGAGTTCATTACCTTTGTAAATTGTGAGTTCATTACCTCTGTAACTTGCTCAGCTATCAAAACTTTGGAGTCCAGTCCCTGGACCAATTATGTACCTCTGTAATCTTTTGACCACTGCCCACAGGATGGGTATGGGGTGCATAATAAACATATTAAACTTAAACTAACTCTGTAGACAGACACCAACTGGACAAGACGTGCCATGATCAGCAGACGGCGCCCCCACGTGTCTTCACATTTGAGACCTGGGGAAATCTGGTAGAGGCACCTCGATGTACCGTAGATGACCTCCTCCATCAGGCCCATACAGTAAGACAAAACCTCCACTTTCTCTTAGGATTTCTGGCCAGTGTCTGGAGGCCTGTATGCAGCTGGCAGTGCATGCCCAGTACGTACCAGTGTCTCTTGTCTACCTAGAAGCTAGTGTCCGTGTCTGCATAGTTGTACTAGGGGATACATACCCTCTTGGATATAGGAATTTTTGAGGTGCAGGCAGGTCACTAATATCGATTGAATATTGCAGGAATTAAGGCTCCCGGTTGCACGTGGTTTCTGAGGGGAAGTCCAAAGGGGCTAAGCTTAGGAAGGTTGAAGATCAGGATATATGCTGCAACACCAAGTAAGTTAGTCCTTTATACGTGCATGCAGGCGAGTTTCTTGCAACATCAATCATTTGTGAAAATCTGTCCTATAAGCCACTTGTGAGGCTGAGGTACCGACCTCAGAACTCGGTGTCAACAGAGTTTGCCAGGGTAGGCAACTCACTTGGAGGCAGTCCAGACAAATTTTCACAATCCACTTAATATTTGTATTTATAACTCATTACAGTTGTGACCGGGTATGGACGTGTCAGTGGCTCATTATTTTGTAATTTGTATAGGAGTGAGGCTGATTCATTACTTTTGTAACTTTCCATGATTGTGACCAGATCTACCTGGAGTTCATTACCTTTGTAACTAGTTCAGCTATCATAACTTTGGGATCCAGTCCCTGGATCCATTATATACCTCTGTAATCTTTTGACTATCGCCCCCAGGATGGGTATGGGGTGCATAATAAACATACTATACTAACTGATGGTACCTACTGCTGTTGCTGTACTCCAGTGATTCTTATCTGGGTCAAGAGTATGCTAGACCTCGCTGTTGCTGGAAGATATCTACTGTTGTTAGAAAATGTCTTATCGAGACTGTTGGGTAAGTATGTGATCATTCTCTGTAGATGGACTGCAACAGCTGGTGAACCACTGTCAGTGTCTTGCTGGCTCTCTTCTCATTTTAAATCTTAACCATATCCTAGGTATATTATTGCGGATTCACTTCACTATGTATGAGAGTTTATTGGTACCGTCAGCTGAAGCTTTGACTGAATGGACAGCCATCCCAGGTGTCGTCGGTCACTCATCCAAACCGTTGTATAATAATATAATATAATATGATGTAGTTTATTTGGACATGATACACAGTTGTACAAGGAATTATAGTAGTTGGGTGTACATGCCAAAAGCCCCTTGTATGCAGAGCATTATGGGCAGGTTGTATTCTACAACCTCTTGCATGCACTGATGTACTTGGTGCTAGGGATACAGGGAATACCTTTCTGGACTCGAGCAACGACCGAAACACATATAGTGTCCTCTACATGCGACCCACAGCAGCTAGTTAGCTCTAGCTTTCGTACCTATATACTGATATTTGAACATTGATAGTAGATGTATGGATACTTGTCCGTTCATCTTGTTTCACTCGGGAATCAAATCCAGGTCGTGTTCAGGTCCTTTCAGTTGTGAAGCAAACACTACAGCTGAGCTACGAGCATCTCAGCAGCAGTCCCTTGGGTATGGAGACCCTAGGGCCAGGCAATACTGTCCCTGGCGTAGTGAGACCTCGGGAGGACCCACACACCGAGAAGATGGCTACGCATATTGTTCAGAGGTAGATCGTTAACCTCATAACTTAAATGACCTGGGTTCAATCCCCAGGCATATGGAGATTTATTGGCAACTTGTCTCCTTGCACTTGACCCCTCAAGGAAGGTTCCTTGATGTTGGTGAAGGGCTCTTGATTTAGGGAATTGGATCTGTGCTCGTTTCCCGAATTAAGCCTGAATGCCTTGCACATCCCCCCCCAGGCGCTGTATAATCCTCCGGGTTTAGCGCTTCCCCCTTGATAATAATAATAATAATAATCCTTGCACTTGCTATCATTATTTAATTAGCAGTATAGGTGCAGTTATCTAGGAGTTAATTATTTGGAAGAAAACCGTATAGCCTTAATTGATATAAGCCACACTAACTGGGACGCCATTATGGACAACAACTGTTCATGGTTAATAATCTGAAGAACGTTTTCTTCTCTGAATATTAGCTTGTGGCGACGTGGCTGGAAGGTAGCTCAATGTACACACATACACATAACATTAAAAAATAAGGAAAAGAAAAAACTACAAGTTTTCTTGTATAATTAATTGTAGTAATATAATAAAATCTTTTTATTTGTAAAATTTATATTGATAATTCATCCTAGTTGTTACTTATACGTAAATACAGCGGAACAATTAGGGAGGAGCTTCAAAAAATAGGAGTTTACCCTTTTATTTTTAATCCTCAGATGTCTCCGTTTTCTGAGAAACATTTTCGTTCTGATGCCTCAATACGTCGCTGATTCAAAATAATATTTATCTCCAGTCTCACGGCTCTTGCAATTAACAGAAAAGGAAGTAGCAAGTTAAATTAAATAATGCCTATGCACGAGGGAGTGTGTTAAGAGATTTAAGTGTAAGAAGAAGAGGTGTGGTTGTGGAGGTGGAAGTCTCGTCAACACATCCGCACTAACAACACTGAGGCCAACATGGCGGCTGCTGCGCCCACTCTGGACGCTCTCATCCGTATGTCTTAACATTTCTATCACTTCATGTCTGCACATCTGGTGGGACTCAGCTTTCCCATCATCATAACACTTTTCACCCGCCAGGCCCCTAAAAGCTTCCTGTGTAGTTAGAGCTAAGTTACTAGAGCCACCCGGGACTGGTCCAGTACTAGTTGTCAGTAAGAGTGACACCTTTATTAATATTACCTTCACCAACTTCTTAATGACCACTAATTAACACTCAGGTACAACGTCTCAGTATCCATATTTAAAGACATTTAGCCATCCAGTGGCTTTAGCAACTCTTCTGCATAAGAATTAATAGTTCATATCAAAATCTTGAGTAGCGTTGAAGGTGGCCATCAGTTCCCCTGTTTTCTAATATATTACTTTCCTCCCCATAATCTACCTTGTCCATACTTACCATCGCATTTACTTTGTCTGTTTCGTAAGGCGAGTCCAGGATCCCAGACTTCACCTTATGAAAACAAGCAAAGCAAATGCGATAGTAATTATGAACAAGGTCAATTATATGTTGTCTATTTTTTGGACATAATACATAGTTGTACAAGGGAATTATAATAGTTGGGTGAACATGACAAAAGCCCCTTGTATGTAGAGCATTATGGGCAGGCTTAAAATTAACTTTAAATTAACAAGGAATGAAAGGTTCAGTGTTAAAAATTACAGTAAAAAATTTGCAATATGAATTACAGTTAAGTATTTGGAACAATGAAATTTGAACATTTCGATATTAAAGCATTATAGTTGTATATATTTATCTCTTTACAATGTATAACAAACAAGATGATCAATTTGCTATATGTTGTTTTCAAGTTTTAAGATTTAAGTAATTACCTGGACCTGGAGTTTTCCTGGAGAGAATTTCGGGGGTCAACGCCCCTGTGACCTGGTCTGTGACCAGGACTCCTGGTGGATCAGAGCTCAATCAACCAGGCTGTTACTGCTGGCTGCACGCAATCCATTGTACGAGCCACAGCCCGGCTGGTCAGGTATTGACTTTAGGTGCTTGTCCAGTGCCAGCTTGAAGACTGCCAGGGATCTATTTGTAATCCCCCTTATGTATGCTGGGAGGCAGCTGAACAGTCTTGGGACCCTGACACTTACTGTATTGTCTCTTAACATGCTAGTGAGACCCCTGCTTTTCATTGGGGGGATGGTGCATTGTCTGCCGAATCTTTTGCTTTTGTAGGGAGTGATTTTCTTGTGCAAGTTCGGTACTAGTCCCTCTAGGATTTTCCAGGTGTATATAATCATGCATCTCTCCCGCCTGCATTCCAGGGAGTACAGGTTCAGGAACTTCAATTGCTCCCAGTAATTGAGGTGTTTTATCTCCGTTATGCGTGCCGTGAAGGTTCTCTGTACATTTTCTAGGTCAGCAATTTTACCTGCCTTGAAAGGTGCTGTTAGTGTGCAGCAATATTCCAGCCTAGATAGAACAAGCGACCTGAAGAGTGTCATCATGGGCTTGGCCTTGGGAGAATTATTGGCTTTGTTAAATATTGAGTGTTGATTATTTAGTCCTGGGCGAGTAAGTGGTTTTTTAGAAGAGTCTTAAATTGGTTTTCAGGCCTGGTTACTTTAGTATGTTCTGGTAATGAATTCCAAATTTTAGGGCCCTTTATGTGCATTGAGTTTTTACACAGTGTGATATGGACACGGGGTACATCAAAAAGAGATCTGTGTCTTGTGTTATGGTCGTGTGTCCTGTTAAGGTTGGTGAGGAGAAGTTTGAGTGGAGGGTTTATGTTTGTGTGTAGTGTTCTATGTATGTAGCAGGCACATGAATAAATATGGATGTTCTTTATGGTGAGCAAATTTAGACTTTTGAATATTGGTAGTTATGCTAAGTGGAACTTTTGCATCTCTGGTTCCAAACTGAATGAAATAGGTTTCGTCATCATCCAGGTAGATATTTTCTGCAATTCATCATTGACAGTGTTGGCGAGTATGGCTGGGTTTGGGGATAGGGGGAAAATAAACATGATATTAGGAGACAGGGAAACTCACTCGCCTCTTAGGCATTGGGATTAGTTTGCCTGAGATGCTTTGCATGTTAGTGACTTTCGTTTGTGCCTAATAGTGTTTTCTCGCACATAAACTACATTATTTGCATTGCCATAAATAAAAATTGTAGTGTATTTCCATTGAGGTCCTTGTATTTCCATTGAGGTCCTTGTATTTCCATTGAGGTCCTTGTATTTCCATTGAGGTCCCTGTATTTCCATTGAGGTCCCTGTATTTCCATTGAGGTCCCTGTATTTCCATTGAGGTCCCTGTATTTCCATTGAGGTCCCTGTATTTCCATTGAGGTCCTTGTATTTCCACTGGGGTCCCTGTATTTCCACTGGGGTCCCTGTATTTCCACTGGGGTCCCTGTATTTCCACTGGGGTCCCTGTATTTCCACTGGGGTCCCTGTATTTCCACTGGGGTCCCTGTATTTCCACTGGGGGTCCCTGTATTTCCACTGAGGTCCCTGTATTTCCACTGGGGTCCCTGTATTTCTACTGGGGTCCCTGTATTTCCACTGGGGTCCCTGTATTTCCACTGGGGTCCCTGTATTTCTACTGGGGTCCCTGTATTTCCACTGGGGTCCCAGTATTTCCACTTGGGTCCCTATATTTCCATTAGGATCCTTGTATTTCCATTGGGGTCCTGTACAAGTATACATAAGTACAATTATCATACATAGTTTAACAAATGTGTAAATTACCAAGGATAAGCCAGAAAAGTCAAAGTGACTTATCTTAGGACTGAATTGATAATGCCACTGATGTGTGTGTGATTCCTCTTTATTTGGGTGTTGTATACCGTTCTTGTGATGATGGTATTTGATGACAATAAGACCATCGCTGTGTGGGGACTCTTGATTCAAGGGATCGGACCTGTCCACTCCTTTGGATCGAAGCTGATTGCCTCCCAGGTGTTGTCCCCTGTGGGTTTGCCACTTGTCCATATATTATGTACTCTCTGGGCTAGAGGTAAACACCTGTTTGGTTGTGTGTCAGGCCAACGCCTGCTACTGTGATCTGTATCAGGCCAGCACCTGCCCCTGTGATCTGTGTCAGGCCAGCGTGTGCTCCTGTGATCTGTGTTGTCAGGCCAACGCCCACTCCTGTGCTCTGTGTTGTCAGGTGAACGCCCACTCCTGTGCTCTGTGGTGTTAGGCGAATGTCCGCTCCTGTGCTCTGTGGTGTCAGGTGGAGGCCCACTTCTGTGCTGTGTGTGTGTTGTCAGGTGAATGCCCGCTCCTGTTAGTTAGTTACCATTTGGTCCTAGGCACATGTCGATTAGACACTAGGCCTGTTGTATGTGCAGGCATATGTGTGTGTGTGTGTGTGTGCGCACTGTGTGTTGTCTGGCGGACGCTCGCTCCTGTGCTCTGTCAGGTGGCCATGTAGGAAATCTCTTGCCTCACACACCGAGTGTCCATGGTTTGATCCTCAGTAAGGGTGGAAGCATTGGGTGTGTTTCCTTACACCTGCTGTCCCTGTTCACCTATTATGTAGGTATCTGAGTGTTATTTGACAGGTGTGGGTCAAATCCTGGGGGACAAGATTGAAGGACTCCAATGGAAATAAGACAGTCCTTGATGACACAGTGATTTTCTTGGGTTATCCTGGGTGGCTAACACTCTGGGGTTAAAAATCCGAACAAAATCTTATCTCTCTTGTGCTGTGTTCTGTGTGTCAAGCTAACAGCTGCTCTTTTGTTCTGTGTTGGTTGTCAGGGAAACCTGCTTTTGTGTTGTTCTGCCAGCTGAACACCTGTTCTTGTGCTGTGTTGTATGTCAGTTTAACACCTGCTCTTGTATTCTGTTTGCCCTCTCTCTCTGCTGAGTGAGATGTTGGCTTAGTGCCAGATATACCCTTGATGTGTTTTGAAAGTTTCCCTACTCTCACAGCCTGGACCTGGGCCAAGTAGGAAATTATAATTTGCATTGGTTTCCCAATTACTTTGTAAGTACATAAAAAAACAGATGATTTTATTTGGATTGTTAATCTGGAAGGTTATTAACCCAGTATAACCCAAAACAGCCAGCATGGCTTATTTCCTTTAAGGTCATGTGATCCTCTTCCCCAAGATGCAACCTATGACAATCTGCTAACACTGAGGTACCTACTTAATGCTAGGTAAACATGGACAATAGGTACTGGGATTGAACCCAGGTCCTTCAACTTACATCCTTCAAATGTAAGCTGAAGGTGCTAAAAGTATTAACGACTACAGCATTATGTTTCCCCAGTGTATGATATGCTTGGTCATACCTACAGTCCCTTCATGGTAGGTGTCTTCATGCTAGCGAAGGCTGTTGGAGCTACCATTCTGATTGTTTTCCCATTTCCCCAGACTGCTGTACAACTAGAAGTCTAGTGCTACCCCATGAATTAAATAAAATATAAATGTTCCTGCCTATGGTGTATAAAAATAGACTGTCCCTAGTTGGCTGAATCTTATGAGGCCAGCATAGTCCAGTGGATAGTGCATTGACATGCTGGTTTTTAGGACTGGCTAACCATGGGCTCATGTCTTCCATCAATCTCATTCAGTTAGAAGACTGGTATGTATGGTATTAATAAGCTTTATAAATGCTTTTTAATACTGTATCATTCATATCCAAATCTATGAGAATTACTATGGCAACAGCATCTTCATGCAACCCCATCTGGACATATATAATGGCACCTCTAAAACTAGGCATTTTCACTGACTATAAAACTGATCATTATCTCGCTTTCCTAGTCACCAGCATAACAGAAATGCGACTGCTTGAAACTAATGATATCTAGTTGGAGCTCAGTGAAGAGGCATTAGTAAATAACTTTATGTAGTAATTCGTAACACTGAGTGACGGAACTAACAGTGATAAAGACTTGTATGTTAATGTATTCCTACAAAAAATCTAGTCCTTTAAACAAACATGTTACAACAAAGAAACTAGAGAGCCCAAAACAAACCAACAGCATCCTTAGATCCATTGACAGAAAGAACTAGCTAAAATATAGTATACTGCATATCATCTCTGAAAAAGCTAATGAAGAAATCCAAGTTCAAAGAAATAAAGAAGACCAAAAAAAAAGGCAACCTGGAAAACACATTCAGCACAGTGGACCCCCGGTTATCGGCCGTAATCCATTCCAGAAGGTTGGCCGATAACCGAAATGGCTGAAAACCAAATTATTATTTCCCATAAGAATTACGTAATGGAAATACAATTAATCCGTTCCAGACAAAATTATTCACAAAAAAAAAAAAATTAACAATTATGTAAGTATTACATACCTTTATCGAAGGCTAATACTGGCTTCTGGAGGATAGGGAAGAGGAAAGAGGGAGGAGTTAGTGTTTGGAAGGGGAATCCCCCTCCATAAAGACTTTAGGTAGCAAGGCCTTCTCTGGGGTTACTTCCCTTCTTTGTCTTTTAATGCCACTAGGACCAGCTTGAGAGTCACTGGACCCCTGTCTCACAAAATAACTGTACAGAGTGCTCCGTTTCAGGAGCATTGTCCAGTAACAGGAGGTACTTAAGTGGCAATTTCTTTTCCAGGCGGTATTTTTTTGCGCTGGGGCCAAAAGCATCATTGACCCACTTTTTGAAAATGTGCCTTGTGACCCATGCCTTATTATTAGTTTTCCACATTACACACAATCTATTCTTGATGGCATTGTTTTTCTTGAACACACTGGGATTTTCATAGTGATACACCAGTAAAGGCTTCACTTTGAAATCCTCACTAGCGTTAGCACAGAACAAAAGAGTAAGCCTGTCTTTCATAAGCTTGTGTCCTGGCAGTGCTTTTTCTTCCTGCATATTGTAGGTCCTCTTAGGCATTTTCTTCCAAAAGGGGCCTGTTATGTCACAATTGAACACTTGTTGGGAGAGGAATCCTTCAGCCTCTATGTACCCCTTGAATTCCTGCACAAATTTTTCAGCCATACATTTGTCAGAACTTGCAGACTCCCTATGCCTTACCACACTGTGCATGCCACTACGCTTCCTAAATCTCTCAAACCAGCCTTTGCTGGCCCTACATTCACAAACAGCAGCACTTGTTCCAGGCATTTTCTTTACAAGATTCACATGCAACTGCCTTTCCTTCTCACAAATCATCAGCTCCACAACACTATCTCCCACTAATTGTTTTTTGGTGATCCACAAAACCAGCAACTTCTCCATATCTTCCATTATAGGTGACCTTTGCTTTGTTAGCATATTTACTCTTTTCGCCACATCAGCTTCCTTGATTTGTTCTTTCTTTGCCAGGATAGAAGTGATTGTTGATTTGTTTTCCCCATACATCCTGGCAAGTTCTAGCACTCGAACACCACTCTCATACTTTTCAACAACTTCTTTCTTAAATTCCATCGTGTTTCTCTCTTTCTTTACCAAAGAATCTTTACTAGCAACTTTCTCTGGGGCCATAGTTACTTATTTCCCAGTTGCACTTAATCAAAAACCCATGAAAATCAATCAATTATAGCAAAATGTTTGGATGAATGAGCAGAAGCTTCCTTACTTGCCCAGAGACAAAGCCAGACTGACATGATCGCGGCTGGTGGTGGTGGGTTGATGTGTACCATACAGCTGATAAGCGAAATAACGCCCGATAACCGGAAGCCGAAAAACTGGCCAGTAAGTGAGTTGGCCGATAAGCGGAACAGCCAGTGACCGAGGGTCCACTGTATTCTTTGAAATTCTTATAATCTCAACCTGTTTTGATGACACTGTATTTAGAGACTTTTTCAAAATTCAAGTGATGCTGGCCTTGGGTTCATCTGTTGAGTGCCTGTTTTCTTTATTGACTGTTTGCCATAAAAATGGAAGCGACTTAACCCTTAAACTGTCCAAACGTAGATCTACGTTTTTACCGCTAGATCTACTTTTTTTTTTACACTTGAAAGCGTGTAAAATAAAGCATAGATCTATGTTTGAAGCGCTAGCGGTACAAATGTAGATATACGTTTGGACAGTTAAAGGGTTAAATGTTTTGCTCCCTTAATACAGTGCAATAATAATTCATGTAAAGCGGTAAACCCATGTAGGTCATTCATCACAAGATATGGAGACTTGATTCTCAGTTTGATTAACGTCAAGCCAACGCACTTCCTATCTGTACATGTACTCGCCTAGATGCTCCCTTAAGGAGATAAGAATAGATAGGCAGAGTAGTAGACTACTAGACATTACTAAATTGTCTAAGACTAATTGCATTCACTGAAAACATGGATATTATTTCAGTATCTCAGACATGGTTTATAATGTAAAGTAAAAAGACACAAGTGCAACTAATGTGACAATTTTATTGTGGCAATGTTTCGAAAATAAAACGTTGCCACAATAAAAATGTCACATTAGTTGCACAAGTGTCCTTTTACTTTACATATTGTCAGTAATTCTACCAACATTATTACATGGTTTATAATGAAAGTTTTCACCAAAAATCCACTCGCAGGACAGGAACATTAAGATAATGTTTAGGTCCATCCTGGACCACTGTTAAAATTACTACTTGTAGAGTAAGAGGCAGAAAAGGCCAGAAGATAGAATACGGGGAGGGAGGACGAGGAGAACCATGATAGTAGTAGTAGCAGCAACAGTGCTGGCAGTGGTGGTAGTGGCACAACAGTAGTAGTAGTGGTGGTAATGGTAAAGCAAGATGTAAAGGTAATAGTAGAGTTGGTAGTAGTAGTAGTAGTAGTGAAAGAATTAGTAATAATGGTAGAAGTGGTAGTGGAGAAGAACAAGAGAACAAAGAAGCACTGAAGGAGGACTGCTGACCCGGGCTTAGGACAAAACTCCCACATGGAAGAACCTAGGGACAGAACCCACCAAGGCAGAAGACAAGAAATGCAAAGAAAAAGATAATGCAGAAGACAAATGTCTTCTCACCTTCTTTTCCTCTTTACTCTCTCAGTTGTGATTTGACAATGGTCTGGGATGGACTGAAATGTGATCCTAACATCCCCCTCCTAAGTGTGTGTTTTTGGTGAATTGTTCCACTCATATTATTGTGACCTTTTATAATTAACATTGACTGGGACATGGCTGCTATTAATGTCCCTTAGTGCTAATGATTCTTTTTTAGATTACTCTTTGTTATAAAAAATATTTGTATTATTGTCTGCCACATTATTAAAACAGAATATGTAGTCTCCTTAATTGCAATATACTGTAGTATTAAGTTTACTATAATGACACAAAAATTTTTTGAACCAAATTCATTTATTTTTTTTGATGCCTATAGGTTATATTGTATACTCAGAATTTTGTGGTAAAAGATTGTTCCAGAAATATGAAATTTTTCCCTGAGTCTGCCTGTGTTAATCATATAACAATTGTGATTGAATTTTGTATTTTTTCTCATTTTGGACAAAATTCATTTCTCTCTTATAGTATGGTACATGTGTGGTAGACTCGTATGTTTTTTTTGGTAAATGTTCATCAAGAAATGTGGAATTTGCAAAGTCTTGGAGTTTATCCTTATGTTTTACATGTATATTGGTTTTCTTTATAAGATTTACCTGTCAACAGAGGCACCTTGATGCTGGCAAGGGGCTCTTGATTCAAGGCAGGGGACCTATGCCCCCCTCCTTTAATCGAACATGATTGCTTCTTTTATAGGTTTGGTGCTTTCTCCCAGTCATAATAATGAGAGGTTATGCAATTATCCTTTATGGATTACTGGCTGGGAACACATCTTTTGTGTAAAGTGAGGGACACAGTTTTTTGGTACAGTATTTTAGACTTTCTGTAAATGGTGCTTTTCTTTTATCATGTATTATTGATAATGCTTTTTACTCTCAAGAGAAGTCCACGAGTCCTCTAAACACCGAGGATGACCCGAATTCCATCCAGGCTGTATGCCATGCAGTCAGTGCTGAGTCCGGTGGTGTACAGACAGCCGTCAGACTCCTGGCTCACAAGATACAGTCTCCCCAGGAAAGAGAGGCTCTGCAGGCACTTGCTGTGAGTTAACAACCTTCTGCTACATTTCTTTGAAAGAAAAATAGGAATTTTCTCATTTATTTTAATTGATGAGCAGCTTGAAGTTTGTGTCAGATGTAAAGTACTGTATAATTATCTTATTAAAGTAAATATTTTGAATGGATTTTTCCAAAGTTGTAATAAGATGTAATTTTTTTTTAAAATGCCGACCATCTCCCGTGAGGTAGAGGTGACCCAAAACAAGAGGGACATAATAATCATCATTTGACAGTGATTGAGTGAATGGTGGTCAATCATTTTTTTTTGTTTAGTCTTCCTACCACATTGGAAAACACCTGGTGTGTTAAATTTTTTAGATAAAAAAAAGGCACAATACCGTGACTGGAACGATACACAAATAACCCGCACATAAAAGAGAGAAGCTTACGACGATGTTTTGGTCCGACTTGGACCATTTGCAAAGTCACACTAACCAGAAGAGGAGCAGGACGGCTATATATAGGCAGGAAGAGGTGGTGAGTAGTAGTAGTAGTAGTACAAGAATGGTATATAATACCGGACAAGATGAAATTAAGATACATGCGCAACTCCTGGGCATCCCCATCGTAGACGTTTCGCCATCCAGCCAGCCACTGGATGGCGAAACGCCCACAACAAAGACACCCAGACGCCGCACATGTGTCTTAATTTCATCAGTAGTAGTAGTAGTAGTAGTAGAAGAGAGTAGATGGGGTAGTGTGGTATGTAGAAGTGGGGAATAAGGAGGACGAGCCAGTCAAATACAAAGGAAGGGGAGCACTGCAAGAGAGCTAGGTGCCCACAGAGGGAGAGCAAGAGCACAAAGGTGCGTGAAAGGGGAAGTGGTGAAATAAAGAAGGAACACAAACACGAGACAGAAGAGAGAAAGACAACCCAGAGGAGAAAAAGGAAAGAGGAAAGAGGAAGAAGAAGAAAAAAGAAAAGAAAAAATGAGGAGTCAGGTTAAGTGTGTTTTTTTAGATAGTTTTTCATATACAGTATTGTATGATATACCATTGTTATCTAATTAACCTTTAAACTGGTGGTGGTGTATTAATACATTCAAGTGGTTGTTGGTGGTGACACACTTATTTTTAACACATTGACTCTCTCCCACCAAGGTAGGGTGTCTCAAAAGAGAAGAAACACTGTCACCATCACTCACTCCATCACTGTCTTGCTAGAGGTGCACCAATACTACAGTTCAAATGTCTTTCTAAACTGCAGTATCCCCATCTTTCCTTCAGAATGCAGGGATTGTGCTTCTCACCTCCAGGACTTAAAGTCCAGCTAACCGGTTTCCTTGAATCCTTTCATAAATGTTATCCTGCTCACTCTCCAACAGCAAGTCAAGTGATAAAATTTGCTATCTTCTCATTCCTGTCTAATATACACACACAAGCCTGTTGGATGTCCAAGTCTCTTGCATACAAAAACCTCCTTTTCCCCCCTCCCTCCAGCCTTTCCTAGGACAAGCCCCACTCAGTCTTCCCTCCACTACAGATTTATACACACTCCAAGTCATTCTATTTTACTTTATTCTTTCTAAATGTTCAGACCACCTCAACAACCCCTCCTCAGCACTCTGGATAATACTTTTAGCAAGCCTGCACCTCCTCTTAATATCCAAACTACAAATTTTTTGCATATTCACACTGCACATTGTGCTCACACACAATATCTCCACTGCTTCCAGCCTCCTTGCTACAACATTCACAACCTATTCTTCACATCTATATAAGAGTGCTGGTACAGGTGAACCATTACTAATCCGGCATCATTGGGACCTGTAGGGTGCCAAATTAGTGGTTTTGCCAGATCACAGAGAGGGGTTAGGAAAGAATATACGTACTTAGCCCAACAGCTAACCACCTCATCTTATCTTTAACCCTTTGACTGTTTTGGTCGTATATATACATCTTACGAGGTACCGTGTTAGACATATATACAGTGGACCCTCAGCTAACGATATTAATCCGTTCCTGAAAGCTCATCGTATGCTGAAATTATCGTTAGCTGAATTAATTTTCCCCATAAGAAACAATGGAAATCGAATTAATCCATGCAAGACACCCCAAAGTATGAAAAAAAAAAAATTTACCACATGAAATATTAATTTTAATACACACAAACTGACACTTACCTATATTGAAGATCTGGTGATGATTGATGGGATGGGAGGATGGGAGAGTGTGGAAGTTGTTAATGTTTAGAAGGGGAATCCCCTTCCATTAGGACTTGAGGTATCAAGTCCTTTTCCAGGGTTACTTCCCTTCTTCTTTTAATGCCACTAGGACCAGCTTGAGAGTCGCTGGACCTCTGTCGCACAACATATCTGTCCATAGAGGCCTGTACTTCCCATTCCTTTATGATTTGTCTAAAGTGGTTCACAACATTGTCATTGTAATAGTCACCAGCACGGCTTGCAATAGCTGTGTGAGGGTGATTTTCATCCATAAAGGTTTGCACTTCATGCCACTTTGCACACATTTCCTTAATCTCTTTCTTTATATCCATAGTAATTCTCACCCTTTTATCTGCAGGGTTGGCACTAGAAGCTTTCTTGGGGCCCATGGTGACTTGTTTTGCAGGTACAATCACTAAAAACGCTGTGATAATATGAAATGTTTCAATTTTATGCGTGGATGCGCCCGCACTGGCTGGCTTGTGAAAACTGGCACCCACGGGACAGCTGAGGCGTGCTCAGGTCACACGTGGACGAGTCTCGAACGAATCGCGTAGGGTGAGTCTTTTAGCGTTAGCTGAGGCACAATTTTTGTGTTAAAATGCATCGTATGCTGAATTTAACGTAAAGTGATGCCATCGTTAGCTGAGGGTCCACTGTATACTCGTAAATTCTAGTGGCTTCAAATCAAGCAGGAGAAAGCTGGTAGGCCCACATGTGAAAGAATAGGTCTGTGTGGTCAGTGTGCACCATATAAAAAAAATCCCGGAGCATGCAGTGCATAATGAGGAAAAAAAAAAAGACCGTTTTTTTTTAATTAAAATGCCGACTTTGTGGTCTATTTTCGTATAGTATTTATGGTTCTATTCTCGTTTTCTTGGTCTCATTTGATAGAATGGGAAACATATTATAGAAATAGAGGTGATTTTGATTGGTTTGACTATAAAAAGAACCTAGAAATGGAGCTCAAAGTAGTGGAAATGTTTGATTTTTGCTGATGTTCAAAAGTAAACAAATGATGTCATTGTCCAATAAATGTCCAACTAGCCATTTTAATATGCAGTCATGAATGGGTTGACATTATTTGTACAATTATTACAATATTGCAGTAGTCTGCATAACAGTAAATCTTCTATTTTTTGTTTGAATAAAAATTCAAAACAGAAAGCAAGAGTAGTATCAGAGGGGCCTGGAGATGTGACTGATGAACAAAGAAAATGTTATTTTAGAGCAAGGAATGTCTGCATTGTTCATTCTGAACCTTATTTTTAAATTGTCATATTTTTTAATTTTCATGAAATTGGCCAAATTGCAAATTTCTGACCATGTAATTGGATAGTTGAAATCGGTAAATGGGCAGTTTCTTGTACTCATTCGATAGAAAAAAATGGAGTTCTAAAGAAATAGCTATGAGTTTGGTCGACTGGAACAATGGAATTAGCCAAAAATAGGGCTCAAAGTGGGCGAAATCGTTGATTTGTAAATATCGCCGTGGTCGCTAACTTTGTGAGAGCATAATTCCTTCGGTTTTCCATCAAATTTTGATTTTTTGGTGTCATTACAATCGGGAAAAGATTCTCTATCATTTCATGAGAAAAAACTATTTTTTTTTTCGAAATTTTGCGACACCAGGAGACACCTCAGGATTGGGGGTTGCGACAGTCAAGGGGTTAAAATACCTATAAATCAGTAAAAGTTGGTTAATAAAGTTAACCAGCTTGACTTACACTGAAAGTTCATCACTGCTGCTTCCAAAGTGAAGAGCTGAAATTTACAACTAAACTACTTCATCTAGTTCTGAAATTTTTCCTTCCTTCATTGTTGTCCTTTGACACATCTTTTTTCTTTGGCCCACTGTTAGTAAAGAAACTGAGTAATTTTTTTTTTGTTTCTTTGTATAAAATGTGGAAGAACCAGTGGTATAATTATCCCAAGCTTCTCTGTGGTTTTTTTCCAAAAAGTTCAACCTTTTTGGAAATGTACGTACAGTGCTTCTTTTAAAACACAATGGAAACATTTTTTTTATTCATTGGAACTATGGCTGGGGCTGAAAGTGACGGTTAATCGGGAAATTACCTGGATCATGTTTCAGTGATCAACCCCCCCGCAGCCCCTCGAGACCGGCCTCGTGGGGGATCAGAAAACCCCACACTGTTCTGCTGTCCGCACATAAATCGAATATGAACCACACCTGGATAACCAGTAGATTTTAGGTCCCTATCCAGTCCTTCTTGAAGATTGCCGGGGTCTTTGGGTAACCCCCCTTTGTGTGCTAGGGGCAGTTGAACGTCGGGGGCCCCCTGACCTTTTTGCATTGTCTTTAGGTCGGGGATCCCCCTACTTTTCTTTGGGGGGAATGTTGCATCTCTTGCTGTCTTTTATTTTTATAGGGAGTGATTTTCATGCAATTTAACTAACCCTTGTGGGGTTTTCCCAAGTGAATTTATCATTTTTCTTTCTTGCAGTGAAACACATGTAACAGTATTTAAATAGGGTTTTTAAGGGTTTTTTGTTGGCTTTTTAGGGTTTGGGGAAAAGCAAAAGGTACGGGGGATGGGGGGAAATGTGGCAGTTTTGAAAATGATGAATAGGATGAGGTTTTGAAAGGGGGAAAAAGTTTTTGTGAGGATGGTGGGGCTTTGTAGAGTTGTAGGCAAGTGGGGATTATTTCCCAGAAAAAGTAGGCCTTAGACAGGGATGTGTTATTTACCGGGTTATTAATTATTTATAGAGGGGGTAGGTAAAAAAATAATTTGCAGTGTTGGCAAAGGTGGGGGTTTTAAAAAGATAAAAATAACCAAAAATTGGGAAATTGTCC